GGGTGCCAGGGACAGTAGGCAAATACATTTTGTAAAATTCCTGTCTAGATAAATTATTTCATTAAAACTGTTTAAAAGTCCACCAGCCCATGAAAGGTATAATTATTTATGGATGTACTTTTAGAATAACGGATAGATATGAGCTTTTGTTTTATTGGTTTGCTAGGACTGCCATACTAGACTGCCACAAATGGAATAAGTAAACGACAGAAATTTGTTGTGCTGCAGTTCTGTGTTTTTGTTGGCTGTGAGGGAGACTCTGTTCCACGTGTCTCTCCTAGCTTCTGGTGGTTTGCTGGAAACCTTTGGTGTACAGATGCACCACCTTGATAGAGATCATGTCCTTCATGATCATGGCCTTCATTTCCACATGGCATTCTCACCATGTGTGAATCTCTGTGATCAAATTTCCCCTTTTAGATAAGGACTTCAGTCATACTGGATTATGATGGCATCATATTGTGGTATGAACTCATTTTAATTTAAATACTTGTATCTTCAATGACCCTATTTCTAAATAAGACCACATTCTTACATATTGAGAGTTAAGGCTTCAACATTTGAACATTGAGGGGAACTCAATTTAAACCATTAATTGTCCAATCAAGGAATATACGTTTTCTTCTTTGTTTTGGGGGGTTTTTGATGTTTCAGGGACTAAGCCCGTCATCACAATGTTGATATCAACAATATTGTCTCTGAAATTGGAGGAAGGCAGAGTGTAGACCTAGATATTTCCCCTCTAACCAGACTTGAATCTCTACTTGAATGTGGTAACACACCCCTGTTGGAGAAGATGATGGAGAGAGCATGATGCTTAGGCGAGTAAGAAGCAAAGAGGCAGGCAAAAGCCACTCCATGTCCCCCTTTCTCAGGTCAAAAATAAGGGCTTTAATCTTCACCATCAGTCCTGGAAGTTCTACTCCCAGAGGAGATGCTTAAAATAAGGAAAAATATAGCATATCATTAATCTTTATATTAGATTCATGTAATATATATATATGTGTATATATATATACATACACCCATATGTATGGAATCAATGACATGAAAGAACCTGAGATGAGTAGAAGAATTAGAAAGATGGATGTTATACTTAAAGATCAAAATGCTCAAAAATTTAGTGGTCTAGTGTCTCTGATCTGTGACAAGGTCTAGGCCATGACCATAGGTGATTGATGGAGACATAGTGGAGAGAAAGATGAATAGGGTATGAATGTGGCCCAGCTTTCTACCTAGATATATGGAATATATATATATATATATATATATATATATATATATATAGAGAGAGAGAGAGAGAGAGAGAGAGAGAGAGAGATATCCTAGAATCTCATGTCAATATCCTTGACAACCTTCTTTCTTTCACCAAAACTTCCTTTCCAAACATGCTTCTTGCCCCACCCTTATAACCTTACAATTGAAGATTGGTATGCCTCCAGGTTTATAGGAACAAATCTTATCTGGGCTCCCAGTATAGCTGAGAAATCCTTGTATCTTCTAAGGGAGACTGGGCTTCAGGGGAGGGATGTAGGCCATGTTCTTAAGCTTTCAATGTGTCCTGCAGAGGTACCAGCTTTGGAACTACTGAAATGATGAGGGGCAAATCAGGAGGGTGAATCAGAATAATACTGACATTTCTACTACACACTCATTTCAGCCTGCCATCCTCCACTGATCTTGAAAAGTCATGTGCTTGGCCTGAGGGGTACTTTTTTCAAGGGCCCTGGTGTCACGTCTGTTGGAGCCACTGAGTCATTTGGGTTGGTAGAAGAGTCACAGATGAGGAAATACAGTTCCTACCCTCGATGGCACATTCTATGTGGGGAGGAAAGTGCCTCTAAAAACAGAATAAGAAAAAAGAAAGTTAAAAGACTGAAGTTTTATCTGCTTACATTGTGCTGAGCACTTCACCAATCCAAAATCCAAAAGAAACAAAGAAAAAAAGTTTGCAATCTGAGATGAAAACAAAATTTCAATGTACAATGTCAGCCTAATCCCCAAAATAATAAAACCTTGAATATTTCTGTAAACCTGGACTCTAACAAAAACAATTATATTTCTGATTTTGTAAGGCTGATATTTAAAAATAAATTATGACCTTGTGACTATGATGATCATAACCTACCATAAGCACACCAAAGTAAACCTGATAACCTTGGTAATTTTTGCATTATTTTTCTCCATTTATATGTATGTCAGGTTTTGTATTTTGTGAAGCATGTCTTCTGAAGTTTGACAGCTTTGGATTCTGTTCAAGTAAGTCTTTATTTCTGTTTTTAAATGCTTATTTCTCAAATCTTCCTTTGACATCTCATCAAACATCAGATTAAAATAATCAGAAAGTGCTGAGAAAAAATAATTGCAAGAATACCAGTAGGTATATATAGAAACTGAGAGAGAGGAAGTTCTGTGTATGCTTTTGTGTATGCTGTGTATGCTGTGTATGCTTCACTCAACTGTTCAGGTTGAGTGAAGAGGGCCTTCCAGCCTCACAAAGTCTCAGAAATGACTTTGGCACCATCTCCATTGGAATATCTTTGCCTGTTTACATAATACCCACTCAGAAGTGGGGGGCATTGGGACCATACCTACCTCAGTAAACACTGAAGCAGTGACAGAGGGTCAATATCCTCATCAAACCCACACTACTTGTAAATACATACTCTTATATATATACTGATATGCAACTTCACACTTTCAGGTACATAGCTAGGCATGTGCCTTCACAAAACATGTGTATTCAATGACCTCTCACTCAAAGCTTGATGGTAGAAACTAATTACACATACTTAAAGTAAATGATTATTTATACTTTCACATATACACATGCTTATACAAACACATACTCAAATTCATATGCAAATTCATCTCATCTCGTATGCATGTATTCATTAATGTGGCTCTCAGATATACATACTGACTTATATAGCATTATCAACATACTTCTATATTGCACAAAATATCCTTTCAATTGTAAATATGCATACTCTAACAAAATGTGCATACAGATGAACCCACACTCATGTAATTTCAATAATACATTTGAAATAATGTATTTATTTTAATACTTTTGAAAGCATGCACATACTTTCAAATCCCCTGCCCTCCCATTTGTGCATACAGAGGAGAAAGGAAAATTAGAGGTCAATGTTTCCAGCTTTAGTCTCCAGTCCCAGAGGAAGCCAGTGTGCATATGAGGCAGTGGGACTCAGTGGGAGTGACAGCACTAATGCTCTGGGGAGGGAAAGGCTAGACACTCCTTTAAATAGGCCCTGTGAATTTCAGGACCTTGTTAGAACTGCTTATGGTCATGCTCTGCTTGGTCAAACGTAGAGAAGAGTGCAGGGTGAGTGATTTACTGTGTCTGAGTCACCTCTTCCCTTCCCAGAGCAGTACAACTCCCAGAGGCTGTGAGAAGCAGGAAGGCCAGGCAAAACACTGCAGAATGGCCTGACTCACTGGGATCTTCAGGCTCCTGGGATCTAGGACCATGGGGTTTGGTTCTGAGATGGGGAGAAGACTCAGTGCTCCTATTGTGTCATCCAGGGGAGCTTACGGAGGTAAGAAGACTGCCTCCACATACAACAGCTCTGTGAAGGAGGTTGGCACTGAACCTCACCTTGCTCCGGCATGAGGAGAGCCTGAATTTCTCTGAAGCTATTTCTTAGTAAGAGATCAACCTATTTTATTTTTTATCCCTTCACTGGCTTAAGCAGCACAGCTGACTGATGGACTCACTATTTCCACACAAAGAGTGGAATAATTGAAGTCCAACAGAGCCAATAAGTATTATTGCTCGACTCAAACCCATCCTCACAGATAAAAGCTGAGCTCTTCTCAGTGGGAGAACATGGTTCTTGGAAATGTTTTTCTCAACCAAAAATTAAGCACTAGTTTTATAACTTTGATTTTATTTTGGGGAACAGAAAAACTCAATCTAAAGTTAAAAGTTTGATTACCCTAGCTATTATATTTGAAAAGGACATGACAACTTCAGCTGTTAGTATGCTTTATACCCACAAGAGTTTTAGCCTATGAAGTATTAAAAAATAACATACATAGTAGCAGTTTAGGGGAGGAAGTAGTGTTGGTCAAGAAGGAAAATTATATTGTTCTTCTTTTTCCTACCTTTTAGAGAATTCTACCCTTTTCCTACCTACATAATAGCTATAGGTTTGCTCAAACAAGTACTGCTACCTTGATGACACTGGTGAAAATTCAAAATCACTTTATCTGGGTCCAGGGGCTTTGCTCTATTCCTTTCTGCTTGGACAAGTAGGAAAAAGAAGAACAATGTAAATTAACACTACGATGGCTAGACTGACTACTTGCAACAGAGACTATATGACCTACAAGTCCTCAAATTTTTATGATCTGACTTTTTACAGAAAAAGGTTTGCTAACCCCTAATCTAGGATAAGCTTATACTAAAGATAATACATTTAATTGTAGGTATACAACTGGTCACTCAGTTATTTTCCAGCCCCAAACCTCATGGTAACAAATTTAAAGTCAAAGATAACTCAACATCTACACATAAACTGCTCTACTGGCTTCCAACCCTGAGAAGTTACTCAAGAAACTTAACAGAAGTATAAGAAGATCTGTGGGAAAGTTTGAAAAAAACCGAGTTGTTAGTTATAAAGAATACAGGGGCAGGAATCACTATGATATTATTTGTCAAGGTAGTTTTCCCTTAGCAGATTCTACTTTCAAGAAAAGTACTGATTCTTGAAAAATAGCTACCTTTGTGGCTAGTATGATGTACCCCACTTTGATGACATAAACATGGATAAAGAATGAAGACTATCATTTAATGCTGCAAAATTTTATTTATGAATACAGTTGAAGTCATTCCAGTTTATCATTAAACCCAATGATCCTATTACCTAATTTCCCCATTTAAAACACTTATAAATAATAATGACAGTTGCTTTGATTGTTGTCACCTGCAGAGAGTAAATTACCTTCCCAGCAGAGAACATATTAGCCACACTATGGTGTTGCTTTCACGGAACAGCTCTTCTCATCCTGTGTCTTTCATCCTACTTGGAATGCCAGGACTGGAGAGTGCCCAATTCTGGATTGCCTTTCCATTTTGTGCCATGTATATCGTGGCTATACTTGGGAATGTCACTCTTCTTCACATAATCCGAATTGACCATACTTTGCATGAACCCATGTACCTCTTTCTGGCCATGCTGGCGATCACTGACCTGGTCCTCTCTTCCTCCACCCAGCCTAAGATGTTGGCCATATTCTGGTTCCATGCCCATGAGATTGAATATCATGCCTGCCTCATCCAGGTGTTCTTCATCCATACCTTTTCTTCTGTGGAGTCTGGGGTGCTCATGGCTATGGCCTTGGACCGCTATGTGGCTATCTGCTTCCCACTCCAACACTCCAGCATCCTGACCCCATCAGTAGTGGTCAAACTGGGGGCCGTCGTGCTGATGAGAGGGTTGCTGTGGGTGAGCCCCTTCTGCTTCATGGTCTCCAGGATGCCCTTCTGTGACAACCAGGTCATTCCCCAGTCATACTGTGAACACATGGCTGTGCTGAAGTTGGTGTGTGCCGACACCAGAGTAAATCGTGGGTATGGGCTCTTCGTGGCCTTCTCTGTTGTTGGCTTTGATATGATAGTCATCAGTATGTCGTACGTGATGATTTTGAGAGCTGTGTTTCAGTTGCCTTCAGGTGAAGCCTCCCTCAAGGCTTTTGGCACCTGTGCCTCCCATATCTGTGTTATCTTGGCTTTTTATATCCCAGCCCTTTTTACTTTCCTCACCCACCGTTTTGGCCATCACGTGCCACACATAGTACACATCATGGTTGCTAATCTCTATGTCCTGGTGCCTCCCATGCTCAATCCCATCATCTACGGAGTTAGAACCAAACAGATCAGGGACAGGGTTGTCCAAGGATGTTGTGGGAAAGACCCCTGAGCCAAGAGTCACAACATAACCATCATTGCTATTGCCCCACTAATCTAGATATGCAAATGAATTTGAAAAACCGTGACGTGTCATCACAAAGCCAATTTATAAACAACTGGTGCAGGGTAAGAGGAACCATTTTTAGGATACCTAGAACAGAAGGTCTCTGGGTATGAGAGTTGTGATGGATAATAACTTAGTCGACCTATGTTTATCATCATAAGAAAGCAATAAAAGTATTTTTACCTATTAAATAAGTGAATATTTTAAAAGAATGTCATCTTCCACAAACAATGTAAACAAATAAAGCAAAATATTATTTTTACATTATTGGTAGCAGTATAAATTGGTAGACTTTGTTTAAGAGAAATTTAAAAATTTGCATCCAATAGTTTAAAAGTATATATATTTTTCCCATCTGAGAATCCACATAAAAGTCAAATATTAGAAGCAAATATATATATAATGCCATGCATAAAATCATTATTTATAACAACACAACAAAAAACATTTATATATTGTTCTGTATGAAACCAGAAGCAGCAATGGGCAAATGAATATCAGGTGCCATTTATCTATCATATTTGCAATAAGTATCTAAAGATGAGAAAAATTGTCAAGATATTAGTAAATAAAAAAGAAGAATTGCCTATAAGGTTTGATGCCAATTCTAAAACAGAACACATATGCATAAAAAGAGATTGAAGAAATACATACAAATTCTAGTAATAGCTACTTGGAGTAGTGAGGCTTGTGACATTTTCATTTTCTTTTTGAACCTTAGTGTATTTTTAAAAATTATTCTGGATTGAGGAAGTTTTAGTATGAGAAAAAAGTAATTAAAATAACTATGAATGCAAACAGGAGAAGTTAATTCAGTGCCAAAAACTAAGGGTAGTGAGTAGGCAGTCTGAGAGGAGATAAAGGTCCACAGAAGCTTGAAAATTTGCATGTAAAACTGCTGCCAGACCACAGCTTTGAGAGACTGCTATCAATGAGGATCAGGTGGGGTCAAGTTTTGGTCTCTCTTCTCCAAAATTTGCTGATTCCCTGAAGACAATGAATTTCATAACGTTTTTGGAAAAGAATGAGGAAGAAGATTCTCATCTGAAGATAGTATATTGTATTTTAATAGTATATTTTAATAATGTTTTTCTTTTGAATTAAAATTTTAAGCTGCTTTTAAAAGCATGTTTCCTATCATATCATTACACTTGAATTGATAATCTCTTCACTGTTTTTTTTTCTACCAAAGCCAATAGTGAAGAAGGTTCTAGAATTCAGGGTCTTATATTACTAAAACCAACATTAGATAAAGGCTCCCTGAGAGGAATTAGGAACACGTTTGCTTTTTACAGAAGAAAAAAATTATTGGAGCCTGAAAATGCCCCAAGATAAGAATGGGTGCTTTTTCATTTTTCTTTTTTTGAGATAGTCTCACTCTGTTGCCCTGAATAGAGTGCTGTGGCATCAGCCTAGCTCACAGCAACCTCAAACTGCTGCACTCAAGCAATCTTCTGCCTCAGCCTCCTGAATAGCTGGGACTACAGGTGTGTGACATGTCGCCAGGATAATTTTTCTATTTTTAGTAGAGATGGGTCTTGCTCTTGCTCAGGCTGGTCTCAAACTCCTGAGCTTAAGGATTCTCCAGCCTTGGCCTCCCAGAGTGCTGGTATTACAGGTGTGAGCCACCACACCCAGCTAGAATGGATGTTCTGAAGGAGAATTTTTATTCTTCCCAGATTTCAGAGTTCAAGGGACCGTGATCCCTTTATCAGCAAATTGGTTAATCAATGTGATAGTCTTTCTTTCTGTTTTCAAAATTAGCTTCATTACTATATAACTTGCAACAATAAAATGCAAGATTTTAATACATAGTTTGGTGCATTTTAATGTCTATGTAGTTGGCAGCCCCTCAATCAAGATAGAGAATGTTTCCATCACTTCATAAACATTTATTTTGTCCCTCTGTAGTCAATCAGCTCCCCTCCACCACAAGTAGGAAACCCTGATCTGATATTTTTTACTATACACTGATTTTGATGGCCTTAGAATTATATACAAATAGAAGAATAATGATATATTGAGTTCATCATATTTTGCTGAGTATACTGTTTCACCCATGCTGTTGTGTATTTTAGTAGTATATTTTCTATTTTTTTTGAGTGTTATATTTTATGATTTCAACATACCTCCCCTAGTATATTGATTCCTCTCTCCATTGCTCCAGCCCTTCTAGTCTTATACTTTCACACAAACCAATCTCTTGTCTGTCTTAGAGCTTTGCTCTCACTCTTCTCACTTCTCCAGTCGTTCCTCTGCAGAAGAAGAAGATAGCTCCCTGCCATCACACCCCAGGTCTCAACCAATGGCATCTACCCAGGGAGATGTTTGTTAATCTACCTGTCTTAACTGGATCCTGAGCCATGGATTTGTTACATCAATTCAAATATTTTGTTCCTTCCCAATCAGCACAATATATAATTATTAATATTTTATTATTTATAATCTGTCCCTATAACTTAAGTATAATTCCATGAGAGTGTAGTGTAGTTGTTCACTCAGCTGTCCTAAAACCTAGCACACAGCCACAAAAAGGCCATATAATGAATGAATAAATTTGAAAGTTTACTGTGTCTGATATCATTGCTGCAATAATTCCAATACTGTCCCAAAGATGGCATGTGCAGTTCCATTTTTTCCTCATTCCTCTAAAACAGAATACAGTACCAGACTTCTCAGTCCTGAGCAGTCCTTTTGTTATCTCCACAAAATTAAAATTCTGGGGGGAGGATCAAGATGGCGGACGAGAAACACCGCCAGACAGAGTGTCTATGCAGAAAAGACAGATTCTAGCAGAAATTAGAAAAAAGAATCAAGAAGACGAGCATAGAGCGGACGAGGACCGGAAGGAGGGGTACCTGAGACCCTGGGAGACTCCACGGGAGGAGGTTGCGGAGGAGAACTGGAAGCTGAGACCGCCGGAGCAGCCCGGAGACCAGCAGGAAGGGTAGGTGGATATGCCGTTTCCCCTCCCCTGCATCTGGGACTGGTGGTGGGCTCCCCAGCGGGTGGAGAGACCTGTGGACACCAGCCCAGAGATGGCCACCACCAGCTATCGGTGAGCCTGTAGCGGACGTGGCACCAGGCTCCCAAATCCCTCGGGGCACCTCCGTGTGCACAGATCCGAGCCACGCAGCAGGCGCCATATTGCCTCCTTCTCCCCTCCGCCGACCCTACCCGCGGCTGCCCAAAGAGACAATATAGCCACCAGTCGGAGGCACCTCCAGAGAACGGGACCTTCCCTTTTGGGACCCTACAGCTGACTCAGGGGAACTCAGACTGTGAGCTCCCTACCCGCCAGCCCTCCCAGGTGCTGCTGGCAGGGTGATCCCAGGAGAACGGTGCAGACCCTGAGGCTGAGAGACATAGACCCAGCTTGGGCTCCCTGTGGGTGAATTGGGACCGACACTCCTCTCCCTGGTGGGGATACAGTTTGAACTCTGGGACCCAGAGGTCAGACCTGCAGACCAGATCCCGTGCACCGAGGTCTCGCATTGCCCGGAGCACAGAAGGGATATATGTGAACAGCCTACTGAGGTGTGTGTGCCTTCAGGGGCAGATCAGCGTCCTAGAGGGCAACCCTCCTCCCAAATGGAGGCCGTGCCCCCAACCCAGGTGGCGTTCCTGTGCAGGGAATCTCCACTCAGGCATCACAGGCAGGGGAGGCCTGGTGGCGTGTGGTCTAGCCTGCTGGCAGAGGCCCAGGAGTAGCTGCGGAGTTGGGGAGGGTGGAAAGAAGCAAGACCCGCTCCAGACTGCAGGTCTCAGACATCCCCACCCCCACAAGCAGATTTTCTGGCTGAGTGGGGCCATTCCAGCCCCTCCCTGACAGCTTTTCCTGGAAGCAGAGAACAGAACTTTGACCTCTGCTAAAGGCATTGGTGGTGCCTGAGGGCAGGCTTACCCAACCCACCTCCGCCTAGACTCTCTCCTAGACTAGTACTCACTGAGGGGGAGAAAAGGACACACCTGGAAGTCCCAGGGCACCACCGACCACATGAAGCACTAGAGTGCCTCTCTACAAGAACAAGAGCTGATAAGAGGACACAAAAACAACAGCATAGCCTATTCCTGCAAGCAAGGCCACCTACTGACAGGCAGGACATCTTCCACACCCTTTACATCCTCCACACCTACTGACTTATTATACAGGGAGTGGTCGAATCTTACCCACAGACACCACCTACTGGCTCAGAAACTAAACAAGGCGTATGAATACCCAAACAAAAACCTAAAGGAAAGAAACAACAACTGATTGACATGGGAAGAAATCAGCAAAGGAACTCAGAAAATATGAAGAACCAAACGGAAAACACGCCCCCAAAGAGGAGCACCAGCCCCCTAGAAACGGACACCAACCAAAATCAGGCTACCAAAATGACAGAAGAGGAATTTCATATGTGCATCATAAGAACACTTACCGATCTGCAAGAACAACTCAATAACCAACACAAAGAAACCACAAAAAGCCTCCAGGACCTAGAACAAAAGTTCACTAAAGAAATAGACACAATGAAGAAAAGTTTAACCGAACTCCTGGAAATGAAGAATCAATTCAGGGAACTACAAAATATAGTGGAAAGTCTCAAGAACAGGGTAGATCAAACAGAAGAAAGAATCTCAGAGATTGAAGATAACACCCTCCACCTAAATAAAACAGTCACAGAGAAAGAGCAGAGAAACAAGAGAAAAGAGCAAAGCCTACAAGAGATGTGGGATTATATGAAGAAACCTAATGTGAGGGGGTTGGACAAGCTATTTGAAGATATAATAGAGGAAAATTTCCCAGGCCTTGCTCAAAATCTCGATATACAAGTTCAAGAAGCTCAGAGGACCCCTGGGAGATTCAATGCAAACAGGAAGACATCACGACATGCAGTCATCAGACTGACCAAAATATCAACTAAAGAGGCCCTTCTAAGAGCTGTAAGATGAAAGAAGCAAGT